CTGCCAGTACCAGCCAGGAGGGACACGGATCCAACAAACATGTGGTTGCATTAAGCCTCCCCAAGACCCTGTCCACGTCCTCGGGAGCCACAGAGTCAAACTCCTCCCATACAACCATCTCAAGACCTGCTTCTATCTCCTCCCCCTGGGCCAACCAGTCGGAGTCTAAGCCTTCCCGGATCCGCGCGACTTTGTCATATCACTTTACTATATTATATTGGGACTATACTTTGATATGCATGGTAGTCTAGGACTGGTTATAAAATAAGAAAGAAATGCTGGATGAATCATTTAAGCCTGAGCAACCTAAAGCAACGTAAAATGGACACTCTGCTCAGATGAGCAGATGAGAAATTTCCTATGAAATTTCCCCAAAGCAAAGAATTCTCTTGAAACACTGAACAATCCTAGTGTGCATTTTTAAACTAGCATTGACATAATTCAAATACATGGCATTTCAAAATGTACACTGCATTTCCCTGCAATCCAGATGCGGCCGAACTTCACAACTGCTATCCCTTGTAACCTCCAACCCACTCCAGGAGCCACGGTTTATTTGTCAAAGTCTTGCCTTACCATGTTCATCACCGTTAAGATATAGGTGGTAACGTTCTCCTTGCTGTGTTTCTCCAGCATTTTCCTATCTGCCACAACTAGCGTTTCAACATTCAAACTTCCACCCTTCTGATTTTTAACGGGGGATCTTTTCAACCTTGCTTGGCTCCCATATTCGTCAGATAAGAGGAATGTGTCTTCAGTGGGTGGCTTAGGACTATCTGAAATGAAACAGAGCCGAGATTTGGAAAAGACTCAGAACTTTACACATCTAGGAAAAGCTACCTTCACTATATTGTTGGGGAAGTTCATTTACTTTACTTTACTTTATTTTTGATTTATATCCCGCCCTTCTCCCAACGGGACTCAGGGCGGCTCACAACATATTTAAAAACAGAAACATATTTACAATCCCCACCAAATAAAACCAATTAAAACCAAATATTTTAGAGTTGTGCTGTTTAAAATTTTCTAAAAAAATGAACCCGATTTAAAGTCCTCCCTAGGCCACATCTGACAACCTAGTTTTCATAATCACATTTTAGAAGCATCCATCTGTGGAATTCATAGCAGCAATAAAAACAGTCTCTATCCTAAAGCAAGCACTGAAATTCCATTTATGGGTTCAACTGAGGGAAATGTTAGGTGTCCTGCCTCATATCCTGGCCTCCACGTACGTGCCCCAAACCCATGTGATCTGATATGCTTGATCCATACCTGCCATTTGTCCAGAACTCTAGACTGTACATATAAAAGATTATCCATATAGTTTTATCCAACAGAAGCTGAAGTAGAACGAACTGATATGACCCTGAATCATGATTTCATTTCTATACAGGAATACTCAAATAACTCAGGGATTATAGGAATATAAGGAGGAATTCTGAGGCTGTAGTCTACATTAAGCATATACTTTTCTCCATGTCACTGTAAATCTCATCAAGAAAAAATTTCATAAAATATGGAACACATGATAAGCAAATAACCTGCTGCTGTATGAAAGCATCTCTACATGGAAAATGTCAGCCTTCTGTAGTTGTAGATTGCCTGTATGAAAACATCTGATTATTTGCAGTCAGATCATGCTTTAGAACAACTAAAATTACACAACTTGCAACTTACTGCTGAAAGTCATGGGGGGGAGGGGTAGTAAACATTTGTGTGTTGTAGGGAATTTATTAGCACAATCTTGCAAAAATGAAATAGAAAAGTCACTACTTCAAAAATATTTAATAGGACCCAACAAGCTAAGTATGATACTGGATGTGATAACTCCATCAACTTTTGGATTGTTCTTCAGCACACATATCTCCATATGTCTAGAATAAGCTTCTATAATTTGAAAGCTTAGGAGACAGATGATAACTTTCGCCTCTGACATTCTGGCTGGAAAATAATGGGAACTGGAGTCCGACATGTGCAAAGAACATCAGGTTGGGAAGTCTGACATAATACCAGTTATGAATGTATGAACCCATTAGCATCCTCAAAAAAGGAACCCAAATTATTTAGTTCTCCATTTACCCATTAGATGCTTACATGTATCCACTGACACCAGTATATTATGTCCCACGTAAAGACATTCTGAACATCCTGTTCTTAAGATGACTGAATACTGAATATTCCAGAAATGACTGACTACCAAGATGGACTATTGCAAATGGCCCATGTAGGGTGTGAAGCGCTTTAGATCACTTCTAAAGTGCTTGGAATGGTCCATTCCAAGATAGTAAATTCTGTGGTGGGCTTTTTGGACACTTCGGCATCCAAATCAAGCCTGCAAACCTTGAGCACAACAATAAGAACCTTCTATTCTTAGGACTACTAGGTCAAAGAGAGAGAGACAGAGACAGAGAGAAAGAGAAAGTTTCCTTACATACATTTCTTGCGCCGTCCACAAAAATGCTGCTTTTGAAACCTTCCATGGTGATAATCGTTAGCTGGAATGTGATAGTTGTGGGCAGTGAGATTGCTGTGACGGTCAGAGGAAAAGTGGTAAGGATTTGAATCTACTTTGTACCCGTGCACTTTCTCTTCAGCTGTCCGTTTATACAACACATGAGGGTGGTGTCCAGCGGGTGGCATATAGTGAAGTTCCTGTGCTAGGTGTTGAGGTAATGGTGATATAAGGAAGTCATTCTCCTGTGTCCTTATCAGACCTGACTAAAGACAGAAATGTAAAGGAAAGTATTGGTTATAAACAGTTTCACTAAACACAGGTTTCTCAAATGCAGTCACAAATTATCAGTTTTGGTCCTTCTTTGAGGCAGATATCTCTCCATGGGGCTGAAACAATCATCCTCTAACACAGTGGTTCTCAACCTGTGGGTCGGGACCCCATTTGGGGTCGATCGACCATTTCATGGGGGTCGCCAAGCAAGGCTGTCCGCCATTTTTTTTGTCCGCCAAGCAAGGCTGTCCGCCATTTTTTCCCCTTTTCCGGCGGGTGCCTTACCTCCCTTGGGCTGGGCCAGCTGGTGGTCGGCCTGCTCCGTCTCTGCCGCTTGCCAGCTACGCCTCAGCCGGCGCAGGGGGCAGAACCACACATGCGCGGTGCTCCCGGGCAGGAAAAGTCCTCGACTTACAACCAGTTGGGTAGTCCTTGACTTACGACTGGTTTAGTCCTCGACTTACGACCGGTTTAGTCCTCGACTTACGACCGGTTTAGTCCTCGACTTACGACCGGTTGGGGTCGCGGCATTAAAAAGGTTGAGAACCAGTGCTCTAACACCTCTAAACACCCCACAAACCCCTACTGGAGTCAGTGTGTGGTCTGCAACTTTGCAGTGCTAAGTTTCTCCAATAGCTACTCAAGCTTACTCTAGGTGTGAATACTTTCCCAGACATGGACCTATTAGGAAATGGCACATGCCTCTTCAAAGTCAAAATAAGTGGGTATCATTAAAGACTTCTTGGAGGAAGATTTGGAAAGGCTCCAACATTTTTCAGAAGGAATCTCGAAAGGAATGCCAAAAGAAGCAAGTAAGTTGGAAGAGAAATGAAGCAATAGGATGTGTATATTTATTCTCCTTGGCATGGAAAAAGTAGCTCCTCCTCCTCCTCTTCCTCCTCCTCCTCCCTCTCAGATCCCAATCTAGAAGTTTCTTTTTTTTTTTAATTTTTCCCCTTTTTTTTACCAACAAACATAATACACAATACACAATACATTTTTTCTTTTCCCTTAACAATACTCTGTCCTATATCTCTTAAATTTATTTACATTTATTTACATTACTCCTCAGACATTTCTATTCCGCAATTCTAGCCAGTTATAATACATGCCCAATCTAGAAGTTTCATCCACCTAAAATACTTTTAGAAAGTTCTTGCTTACTAGAAAGACTGTATGTATGAAAAAAATACATATTTTCTCATAAGGAATTCTGCCTTTATTATCCTAATCTACCTACTACTTCACTCGAGTTAACTCAACCTGAATCCTCTGGATGTCACCTTGGTATCCAGTATTTTGCAATAACAGTTCATTTACTGATTTGCGTATGTCTTAATGAGATTAATTTTTAAAAAAAACATAAAAAAAGAAAGCAATAAATCTGCTTTAGATTTTGCCATTTAAAGGATTTCCAACATCTGAAATTATTCCTACAGGATTCATTTCATAACTGATTTGAACCATATGGAAAAGAATGTCCTGTGTCTCCTTTTTTAAAAAAATCAATCCGCGGAGGACCCTTAACTGTAATTTTGCTATTGGAAGTCATATTGGTAGGCAAAGGTTTTCAGAAATGTGTTAGGAAAGTTGTCCTGGTTAGGACTGATCAGCAATTAAAAAAAAAGTTTAGCTGATTTATATTTACCTGTTATTAATAATCTACATATTACCAACAGCTCAGTTTAAGTACATATTTGAGATGTGGAAAAGGAGAAACTTCTTAACATACAGAAAAGCTTATTGCAATTTTCCAGTATTTGACTTTTCCCCAAGGTTAGGATAAAGTGAGTGGCAGGTTCTCTGTTTTTCATTGTTTTCAAATGATTATTCTTCCTCCAGATGTTTGCAGTTTTAATTGCATATTAAGATTAGTTTTACTGCACAAATGACCAGAGTCTTTAGGTTGGGGGTAGGGAAGGTATACATTTAATATAAATAAATGAATGTCCTACATGAATCTTAGCACCATTGCATTAACTTGACAAAATTATAGTCCTGAGAAAGCTGGAAACATGGTTCTAAAATTTGTCCTTGCTGAGTGAAATTGATCTCTGTTGATTCATCAACAATTAATCATTTGCAGACATGTTGTTGATAATATTGAGCATGCAAGCAGTGACACAACGGGGCACATAGAGAAGGAATTGCCCTTCCCCAACTCCTTATATTTCTCCCACTTAGTCTGAAAAGCCTAATTAAGAAGAAGACTTTTGAAGGCAGCATCCATCCACTTTGGTAGGGTTGTCAAGAGAACTTCATGGACGTGTACATAAAGTCATCAGAAGTTGAACTCAGCTTGGAACAGACTTTGCACTTGAGTACATCTGGGAAGCTGCAAATTGCTGGAAAGAGGACTGTACTATGGAAGAAAAAAACATTCATATGCACACAGCCACATGCATTCACCTCTTAACCATCTGGTCACATGCTAATTATAAGCATAGTGTACCCAAGAGAGTTTCGCTGAAATTGCCTTGTCTTTTGGAAAGATAGTAAATTTTCTTTCCATCAGATTGAGCAACTTGGCCAAATGTAGATAATTTTTTTCTGCAACGTTACATGAGCCTATAATAGGGGTGTGTCTGTTATTAGAGTATCTAATATTCGAAAGCAGCTGAAGAATTCACATCTCAATTAACTTATAACAGATTATAACTTATTAACAAATAACTTGCCCACGTTGCATTAAAAAAAAAATCTCCTCTCCCTATTACGCCATGCGTGCAATGGATTTCATTCCTGTGAGCCTCAGTTTCATGGCACAGTAATAAAATTGTGAGGAACGGCTCATCAAAATGCATGTAGGACTGAACAGAAATGGTCAATCCGGATGCAAATCCTGAATTACAATTTGGAGCAAGATGAAATTCCATATTCAGGACAGAAGAAGACAGTCAGACCAATGGTGTGGGCTCTAGACTAAACAAATCAAGATGATTAGCTTTGAGCTTTAGCAATGAATCTATCCTAAACTGCATTAAATGCCAACCTAAGAGAAGCCAATAACTAAACCAGAAAACATGTGGGAGTTGTATAATCAGATCTACCCTGGTGTTGCCTTTATTTTTCAAAGCAGCTCCAAAGGGACAAGCTGGATCAAGGATGCTGCATGGATGAATCCAGAGTTCCATCACTGTCCCATTCAAATTGTTTCTTCTACATCAGTGTTTCTCAACCTTGACAATTTTAAGGCATGTGGACTTCAACTCCCAGAATTCCACAGCCAGCATTGCTGGCTGTGGAATTCTGGGAGTTGAAGTCCACATGCCTTAAAATTGTCAAGGTTGAGAAACACTGTTCTACATGCTGCTATTGGGGGGTTTTTTTCTCAGTGGGTAGGGTTTAACAGTAACTGTTGAAGGTCAAAACTCATGTGCCCAGGGAATACATTTCTTTTGTAGGCTCAAAAGATATTTTATATTCCAAAGAGTTAATACTGGCTTTAAAAATTGCATTAGGAAAGAAAGTCATTAGGGGCAAATTATCCATTGATAAGATATCACAAATAAGTTTATAGGGCAGGACTGAAAACTTACAGGTAGCTAGAATAGGGGTTATTGAACCTAATGGTATTTATGCATGATTGCAAAAGGTTCAACTTATACATTAATTTTGTGGTGAAGAGGAATGTTTAGCTAACTGCAAAGCAACATTTAGTCTCCGTTAAAATGCCTGGATTCATTAAAAAAAAAAAAGTGTTGCCATTTAAACTGCCGGGATGAAAGTATGAACATCATCAAAGGGAAGGAAGTATTCAGTCTCTGGCTGATTATTTTCCTACTTCCTATATATTAAGCTGTCAGAAACAGGAGCAACGTTTGAAAGCCTCATTGTCATCTCATTCAATTGTCTTGAGCAGAGCAAAATCCAACAATTACTCACTCTGAGAAAGAGATGTCTGACAAGAGATGTCAATAGTTCAGAACTGAAAAGCAAGCCCTATAGCTCTGACCTTCCATGGCTTTTAGGTTGAGGGGGAGGTGTCAAATATCTGGACAACCAAATTTGCTACCATTTAACGCTCTGGATTTTGGCAGGCCAGGTATGAGACTTGCTGTTCCTCTCTCTACCAATGAACAATGACTCAATTGGTGTCAAAGGTCTTGGTCAGGAAAATGAAAATCATTCTTCAGGTTTAAACATCCCATATTTTGAAAGACCTCTTCTATAGAATTTCATTATGTAAGACAGTTTGTTCCTCTAGAAGTTGCACAGATAACAATAAAAAGTCCAAGGGACACTATGTAGAATTTTTTTTGTGTTTTGACAATTTAGTGAATCTTTGGAAAACACCTCCAGAACATCATGCTATGATGATGTAGTTGTTTCATTCATTACCTGGATTTTTTTTTAAAAAAAAAAATTGGTTAAAGCATACATTGTTCCCATTGGTTTGTAAACATTTAACTAAATCATTGATATGCACCATTTCATGAGATCTCATCATAACGTAAAATGCAGAAATAAAGAATTCAGGTTTCTCCCCATATAATATGTTCCCTCCTTTTAAAATATTTTTTAAAATCTCTTGTCCATCTTCTCCACATTACAGAGTTACCAACAGCACAACAGAAGACCAGATGTTAACTATAACCATCCTCTCAAAGTAGGCTGTTCTAATAAAGCTAAGCGTAGTTGGGTCTGGTGAGCACTTGACAAGATGACACCAAAAAATGGCAGAGCTGTAAATTAGATTAAGAAGTCAAAAACAATCCAGGGAAAAAAAGCAATAGCAATCCCGCTTCTATACTGTTCCAAAGAAAAATACTGGAATATTTCCAAAGTCTGAAGGAGCCCAGTCCGGTTCTAGTTCAGAAGAAATGTTACTTCACTGACTTCTCATCAGAAATGGTGTTTTTAGCTGTTTTGATGACCACTGGAATAACAATATGATTTTTTTCCCCAAAAAACATGCATCTTTCTGCATCAGGCCATCAAATCTACAGTCCAAGTCAAGCAAGATTTCTGCAAATTCAGGATAACAGTCTAA